TGGCTGGGGGGGGGGCGGGCTGCCCCATCCCAGAGGGGCTGACCTCAGCCGGGGAGGAATGTGCAGGAGGCGGAGGGTAGGGGCGGAGCGGTGGGGGCAGGGCCACAGTCGGAGGCCCAGGGTTCCTGGCTGCCCCTCCCTCAGCCCCTCCACCTCAGCTCTGACATGGCCCTCAGAAGGAAAGGGGAACAGGCAAGGAAGGGAGGAGCTGATCTTTCCAAAAAGGTGGGCCAGGGGTCCCCTGGGAGCTCGGAGACTAGGCTGCGGGTGGGTGGGGAAGTGCCTGGACAGACCCTTTCCCAGGAGACCCCCTGGGGTGGGTGCGGAATGTCAGAGAATTTAGGCCTCAGTTAGGTTCTCTGCAGGACCCCCCTGCCTAAGTGCCCGGGGAGCACATCTTAGTACCCACGTGACCAGAACGGGGCAGGCTGGAGCCACTCGCCTTGATGGCGAAAGCAGGTGTGAGTGGGGAACCAAGGTGACCCAGCCCAGGCTTCCTCAGATGGATGTCCTCCCCCAGCCACACCACCCAGAGCCCAGGCAGGGTGCAGGGGCCAGGCCCAGCTGGTGACGAGGGGTCGGGAGGCAGGTGCTGGGACTTGGCACAACAATCCAGTTATTTCCAGAAGGAAGAACTGAGGCCTTGGCAGCCTCTGCCACTAACAGGCAGCACCGGGGCAAGAACCCAGGCAGGCCTTTGCACACGGATGCCCTGGCAAAGGGTGGGGGCCAAGGAGCCTGGGGTGGCCCTAGGGCTGGGGTGCAGGCAGGAGTAGGGACCTCAGCTGCCTCCCGTGGTTTGTCCCATTCTGTCAAGACTCCGGCCCAGGCTGCCTGATTCCAGAATCCTTGGGGACTTCCAGAGCCCAGTGTAACCCGCAGCCAATGACCCTGCTCCTAGTGTTGTCCCCATGAGGTCCCTGCCCAGGGCCTGGCATACACTTGGACCTGAGGAGCAGAAAGGACACCTTGTGGGGACAGGGACAACTTGAGCTCCCACTCCTGGGGATCTCCCTTCCTGCTCCAGGGAGGGGACACATCTGGAGTTAGGAGGACAATGTGAAGGTCTCAGGTGGCCCAGGGACAGCCCAGGCCCTTTGGCTGGGGGTTGAATCCCAGGATGTTGGAAAGATGGGGGGGGG